TCGTAAATGAACAGACAAATAGTACATCATGATCGAACAAAACCTTAGTACGTAAACGTTGTACTATTTGTCTGTCTATGTTAAACTTATATTAAAGTTTTTCTTCATTACCCATTTAAGCCGTCTCCAGCCATTATAGGTTTCAGTGTGTTTGACCAATCAAAAACAAGCTAAAAATGATGACAAAACAACATAAAACTTCCCAAATTGCTGTGATAATACATTTGACAAACCCACCAGAAATTAAACTTCTTTTCATGGCAATTATCTAAACTGTGTCCTTATATGATGAACATGTTGAAAACAGAAACAGCATTTTTTTGGCAGGGATATGTAGACAGATGGCCTCAGATTTGTTTTGTATGTGATCATTACTTTCTGCTCGAGCAATTATTGGAATTTTTGTAAACTACTTATAGCTTTGTTAGAAACCCAATTAAGTTATAGTAGTTTTAAGACATTATATTCTAGTATTATTTTATTACAAGTTACAGCTTTTACAGTAAGAAAGAATATTTTTAAAAGAGGTAGAACATTCTGATCACTGGTGCAATCATTCTCAAGTAAACAAGTTTTAACAGTAAAGAAGGTTTAAGTGTTTAAAATCAACATTTAACAATCTAGACTGCTGGACCTGTGCTGAAATTATATGTAATATTATATCACTTGTGAAGAGTCATCTTTCTTTCAAGTTTTATTTTTTCTTATAAGACTGTCGAATGTTGATTTAAATAATTAAAACCTTCTTTACCATTAAAACTTGTGTATTTGATTGCACTAGTGATCAAAATGTTTTACCTGTTTTAAAAATCCTTCCTTACTGTAAAAGTTATAACTTGTAATAAAATAATACTTATTATCAGCAAGTAAACTCAAACAAAACTATTATATTCTAATGCCCTATATATTTTTTGGTTCTAAAATGCATATTTGTAAGATACACGAACTTTAATTTTAATAACTTAGTGAAATCAAGAGATTTAATTTTGTTACATTACTGAGTACAAATCACACAGTGGAATATGTTTCACTCATGAAAGATGGCTAATTACTTAGATTTAGTGCTTTTGGAGGAAGATAGTGGCCCAAAGTACACACAATAAAATCATAAAATAAGAAACAAGCAAAAAGGTTAACAGTTGCAACTAAGACAGACAAGCTAGCAAAATGAATTCAAAGATAAAAAAAAATAGTATAGTTCATTTTTATTTAATATTTGCCAACTTTTCTTTTCAATGTATATTGATTTGTAATTATTTTTTTGAATAGAATATAAGGTATTGCCAAAATAAAAAAAAAAGCTTTTGACATTAATTTAGGATGTTCTAGAAGTTACTAAAAAGAGATAAGAAAACTAAGGTTAAATGAAGTATTTTTATTCTTACCACGAACACCGCCTTGCAAGTCAGATTGACTAAGTAATATTTTCAAGTTCACACACCAATATTTAGTAGAAACAATTTATTAAAAAATAACCAAAGATATATGCAGTAAATATAGAATTATAGGTAACATTACTATGTATAACATCACAGACAGATGGTCAGTCAGCTAGACCACCCCTAACGACAGCTATAAGTTGAATGACACATTTGATATATATGGAAATCACTTCATCAGCATGACTAAAAAAAAAAATACTCATCACATTGGTGGATAAGTCACGACATCAAAGCAAGGATCTGTTTCTAATAGTAAAGATAATAGAAATATAGGATAAATTTTTTATTAGACATTTTGATTAATAGTCAGCAGTAGTGGAGACCTGCACTTTTCAGGAATTTAAGAGGGAAATTGATGATTTTGTGAGAAGTAACTTGTGGTTCTACATTTTTAATTTTTTCAAGAATGGATGTGCAAGGACAGTCTTGTCATCTGTATATTAAAGGGGAGATGAATAATGGAATATTTTGCCTAACAAAAAGAAATTAAATATGTTACAAGAAACATCTAATTGGATGGATCATATTCATAATATATATTTCAGAATTAGCTAATATCTTTTGTCTCATCATCCAGCCTATCTGTTAAGTTTCAGTACTGAATGAATTATCTTGGGCAGCAACTTGTAGGAAACAAAAGATAGACTTGAAATGCAATTTTTAATGCCTCTGATTTTGAATCCAGTGACAAAAGAAAATAATGCAGTTAGTGATTTTTATTACCAATTATAAGACTTCTGTTTTTTACTTCATCTTTATTTCTTTCAAGGTTTGGAGTGCAAAGTCAGTCTTGAAGGACCAAACAGTCCCTTTGTTGTCTGTAATGTTAGCACTGCATATTAGATATACCATCTGACTAGAGAAAAATGATTACACAGAACTAAAATTGGCTTATTGAAATAGTAATTACAACCATATTTACATTTATTTTACTCTATTCTTCAGTAGAACTTTTGCTTTAATTTGTTTATGCATGATAGTGATAATATTTTAGTGAGACAAAATGTGTTACTTGGGTGGTACAAAAATTTCTATAGCTGATACGTCACTATTATGTAAACAAGTTGATCATATATTTTGCCAATAATGGTCCCACTTTGAATTGTAATTTTCTTTGGTAGCAGTAGAATAAAAAGGAAACTGAACAATGATATGCCACAATACTAGAGAAGATAGAATAAATTGGATATTGCTTTAAGTTTAGTTAGAAGTGTTGCGAGTTTGAATATCAAACAGATTTTTGTGATTAAATGTATATTTTTTCTTTGTAGTTCTTTTTCCTTACTTCTCGTGTATAGGTTATATTGCCAAAGTTGTGCCAAGATTATGTATTTGAATTCAAAACCCTGAAGTTGTGTCAAAATTATATTGAGTTAAGTTCTGTAAAGTTTATTGTCCATGAAAGTTCAGAGCCAGCAGTATGTGTGTGTGTTTATATATATATATATATATATATAATTATTTTTTAACTTTAAAGCTCAAATAAGCTTTTGTTTTTAAGAATTATGGTGTTAAAATTTTGCTTATTCTCATTGTAAAAATATTACTAGAAAAAATGACTCATTACAACCAAACTTGAATGACAGCAGACTGGTACATGAATTCACGTACTGTATTTCCAATCATTTGCCTATTACTTGTCAAATCAACTACAAATACTACAATACAAATAATTCAAGTTGTACTAGTACAATAATGATATTGACTCATAATTGAGGCAATCTCAAGCAGATCCCGATGAGACTTAAAATTAAATACTGTTTCTGACTTTAAAAAATATTGTTCACAATGAACCTATTTAGTAAGTTCTACACATACCGTGGAACTGGTAGGCCTAACAGTAACATATACTACTATTAGTATTAAAAATAAAATAAGTGTTATTAACAACCAATACAAAACCTTAGTTTGAGTAAATTACAACTTGCAAGGAACGAGATACCCTTCCTTACCTTTACATTTTCTCGGGTAACATATTTCATAAATATAGGTATAAATTAACAAATGAATTGGGAATTACATAATTAAAAGTTCCATAAGGAATAAAATTTAGCCAAGTTTAATAGTTAACATATGGGACTGGCAGCTGGCCACGTGCTAGCGACAAAGGCTTTCGAATATGCTGTATTAATCGCCATATTGCCTATGTCACTGAATTGAACAGGTGGTGAAAACCTAAATTATCTTTAAGTTCATTAAATCGCCAAAATATTGTATAAAGAAAGGATTTTCAAAATTAAAACAACCCAAAATTACTATTCGTAAACTATTATAAAAGTTTGTTTCATCAAAAAAATACTATTCATTCTACTTACTTTTCATCAAAGTACGACATGACCGTATGTAGCCTGATTTTACAGGAAAAAGGAAGAGCTTCTGGACTACTTGTTCATCTATGTATCCTTACGCGTGGTTAACGTACTTTTTGAAAATTGTAGTTAAATGTTCAATAATAGGAAAATAAAACTTTTTAATACATATTCTAATAATTGAAATATGTACTCACTGTTTTAATAATAAAAATTAGAATTTACTATGTAGCTTCTTTCAAGACCAAAGTGCCGATTTAGCAAACCAAACAAAATAAAGCCATGAAGAATTAACACACTGACACTATTATAACCTATTGTTACGTCTCTGGTCGTTTGTTAATTTCCGGTATAAATTCTTCCCAGGGAACTTCAGCGATACGAGTCCTTTCTTAAATAAAACTAGTTTATTCTTTCTCAATACAGCTTTGCATAACACACAATTTCCACAGTCACTTTAACTTTAACACAGCGATAATTCACAACGATTCACACACCTTACTTACGGCTTGACTCGATTATCTCTATCTTAAATCTATCTATCTGTGCAATTATTATCTCCGCTTTATTTGCCGGGCTTATATACTAAAATAGAGAGCGCCTAGAAAAGAATAGAGTTGCCAGGAAGAGTCATGATCTTTCTAGAAACTCATGACGTGTTACCAGCGTCACGTGACTTCCGCTGTCGTAACACTGCCCCTTCCTTAGTATTGTTCGTCTCGAACAATAGACACTTACATTAAACCAATAGATAATGAACAATAACTTGATTAAATGTACAGAATTTACAAACACAAGATTAAAATTCAACAAAGTCTCTTAATTTTACGGGACGTATCTTCTTCCGTACTGGTCTCCGTCTCGTTGGCTTCTGCTTCACGTGGGTTTCATCTGCTCCATCAGGAAATGTTCCATTATCGGTAGCAGTCACATCAGTGGTAGTAACTTCATCAAGGGCTTCACTGTTTCTCATCTCAAAACCGAGTAGAGTTTCTTCTTCGGCAGTAGCTTTTTCAGGTGACACGTCTCCAGCAGCGTCGTTTGTTCCAACTGAAATGTCCTGTTGGCATGCACCACCTTACCTCACTGACCACATTTTATTCGGAAAGTCACG